AATTGAGGTGGCTGTTAGCCCCCATATACACTTAAAAGTAATGAGATCATTGTGTAATTTTAGGTTAGTCGAGGCCTGTGGAAGAAATATGGAGATAAGAGGATCATAGACACTCCCATATCTGAAGTAAGTCTTCCATCAGGAAGTGGACCTTTCAGGGGCATGTTAAAGTGTACACTGTTGTGATTTTTATGCATTTTCACTTGTGTTTATATTTTACTTATAGATGGGCTTTGCTGGAATTGCCGTGGGTGCAGCTATGGTATGTAATCCTCTTTATGAATCTCATCCAAAGATATTTCTTTTAACATGACCTTTTAAAAACATTGTTTGAATTTTGGAGTGGTTGCCACTCTTTATCACTTTTTAGTTTTTTAAAGACCTTTGTTTTTTATTTGACAGGCTGGGTTGAGGCCCATTTGTGAATTTATGACCTTCAATTTCTCTATGCAAGCCATTGACCAGGTTATAAACTCAGCTGCCAAGACCTACTACATGTCGGGGGGCCTTCAGCCTGTGCCCATAGTCTTCAGGGGGCCCAATGGCGCCTCAGCAGGAGTGGCTGCCCAGCACTCACAGTGCTTTGCTGCCTGGTATGGGCACTGCCCAGGCTTAAAGGTGGTCAGCCCCTGGAATTCAGAGGATGCAAAAGGACTTATTAAATCAGCCATTCGGGATAATAATCCAGGTCAGTAGAATGACCGTTAGGTCTCTTGAACCTTAAAGAACTAAGTTGCAATCTTTGCCTGGAGGGAAGCCGTTAAAGGCTTCTAGTTGGGCTTAAACATACCATATAAATTGTCAGTTAATGATTTAGAGATACGGTAAAGACCGTTTTCAAAAAGGTTTTGTTTTTGCTTTTCTGACTGTAAAGGGGCCTGCTAGGTACCTACAACGCTGATTTAACTACAATAGATAAAATTAGGATTGACCAGAATATAAATGCTGGTACCTAAACCATCCTCTCAAGGCTACTAGACAATAGTTATGAGGCTTCCTATTGTCACAGTGAAACTTCTTGCAAAATGAGTCATAGTGTTGTATATATATTTGGTCATGTAGTTACTTCTGTTAAATATTTATATTTTTCAGTGGTGGTGCTAGAGAATGAACTGATGTATGGAGTTCCTTTTGAATTACCCTCAGAAGCTCAGTCAAAAGATTTTCTGATTCCCATTGGAAAAGCCAAAATAGAAAGGCAAGGTAAGAGCACTTAGTACATCTTAAATATTATTTGTAATCTAGCCAATTATGTTGGTCAAATTCTTTTTTTGTTTTTTTAGAGGTGGGGGAAGGTCGGCGGTGGCGGGCGAGAGAGAGAGAGAGAGAGAGAATGGGAGAATATTAAGCAGGCTCTATGCCCAGCCCAGAGCTTGACTAGGGCTTGATCTCATTATCCTAAGATCATGACTTAAGCTTAAATCAACAGTTGGACGCTTAATTGACTGAGCCTGCCAGGTGCACCTGGTCAAATTCATTCTTGAAGTTACTTGCCTTTTACTTTGATTAGGAAATTATAGGAGGAGTTCAAGTTAAGAAATGTGTCATGTTTTGCTTATACATTTATGCTTCCTAATTCTCAGTCCAGTAGATTTGTATTTCACCCCAAGAAGGCTACCACATTCCTTGCCTCCCTGGAACGGAGTTGAGTTCAAGATTTTACAAATGAGCAAGAGCCACAGTGGCTGCGGGGCAGTACAGCATCTTTGGTTTCAACCTGGCCTCTGATCTGTGACCACTTTGTTTCAGGGACACACATAACCGTAGTTGCCCATTCAAGACCTGTGGGCCACTGCTTAGAAGCTGCAACAGTGCTATCCAAAGAGGGAATTGAATGTGAGGTATGTGGACATTCACTTCTGGAAAAATCAGAAAGTTTCCTTTTAAAATTAAGACCCAGAAACAGGAGTTTGAATTCTCTAACAGGTTAACTGAGTGTAAAATCCTGCTTTGCAAATACCTAGCTTTTTACTGTGTAGCTTCTAGATCTGTTACAGTAGTACCTGCTTTCTCAAGTTGGGATCCAGCCGTGGAGCTGGAGTTCGGGAGAGGGGCAGACTTAGAAATCAGGGTCTAACTCCTTCACGTCCAGGACCTGCCACTTGCTGGTTACACTTGGGCAAGATGTGTACTCTCAATCTCAGCCACATCAGCTGTAAACTGAGGAGAATACACTTACTGTCCCCTCGGGGTGGTTGTGGGAATTACACATAGTGTAGCACCTGGTGCACCGTGAGCAGTCCATTGGTAGTTACGAGTTGTTTTGACAAGAAGTAAGTTAGCAAAGGAGGATAAGTGAATTCTTAGCAGAACCCCTTGTGGTAGAGATAAAGATTTTCATTTTAATTACAATTTCCCATTTTACATTTTGTTCTTGGATAGGCAGATTCGATTTTCCTAGACCCAGAGATGAACAGGAAATAAGAGAGGAAGTGGTATTATGGAGATGAGACGACATTTGTGGCACGGTGGCTCTACAGGTCATATCTGTGTTGTCTGTTTAGGTGATAAATATGCGAACCATCAGACCAATGGACATCGAAACAATAGAAGCCAGCGTCGTGAAGACCAATCATCTTGTCACCGTGGAAGGAGGCTGGCCACAGTTTGGAGTAGGAGCTGAAGTTTGTGCCAGGATCATGGAAGGTATTTCAGAGAAACGGGTTCTAGAATACTCAAACTGTAATAAACAGTGTGTACCTGGATACTGGGCAGAGATTAGAAGCTAGGCCAACAGTCTTAACTTGTCACCTTGGCATTTTTCATTTGGGTCAATGGGTGTTTTGGGTGGGTGAGGGGGAAATGTTTTTTAAAAAGCCAGAAACAGTCCTGGTAATGAGTATTCCTTTAGATTTTCTCTCCTTTGGAGAGCCATACCTCCTATGGGGAGGTGGTGGTGCTCAGTGGCTTTTCTTGCTTCTCAGTGAGCCTCCTTCTCTTCTAGGCCCTGCATTCAATTTCCTGGATGCTCCTGCAGTTCGTGTCACTGGTGCTGACGTCCCCATGCCTTATGCAAAGATTCTAGAAGACAACTCTATACCTCAGGTTAAAGACATCATATTTGCAGTAAAGAAAACATTAAATATTTAGTTCGGACTTGAATTTCAAGTCGTTGGGATTTACTTAAAATACTTGCTGTCTACTTCACCTGGATTGTACTGTAAGACCTTATGATTCATAAAGTTATCTCTAAAGCAACAACATGTATGTTTTTGTACTTGGAAGAATTTAAATGTGCTTGTATGTGGAAAAAACTCCTCTCCTGCCCTAGACTCCATGGGGTTTTTTTCTAGTCTGTTACAATCACCACATTCTTTGAATAAGGCTAATGTAAAATTTTAACCTCTCATAAGGACAAGGTATGAATGTGTCAGAGTTTTGCAGAAAGATGTATCCAAAAAGGACAACTTGTATGTAAAGGTAAAAGCTATCGTCTACATTTGTTGTTAAATTGTTTTGATAAGGAATAAAAGAATTCCTAATATGACTAATTGTAATTTTATATTCTTGAAGTAGTAAACATGGGGTGGGTGGAGGTCTTAAAATTCTGCTAAGAATTTCTGATAAGAAATGAGCGACACTGGGGCGCCTGGGTGGCTTGGTGGCTTAAAGCCTCTGCCTTCAGCTCAGGTCATGATCTCAGGGTCCTGGGATCGAGCCCCGCATTGGGCTCTCTGCTCAGCAGGGAGCCTGCTTCCTCCTCTCTCTCTGCCTGCCTCTCTGCCTACTTGTATGTAATCTCTGCCTGTCAAATAAATAAATAAAATCTTTAAAAAAAAAAAAAAAGAAAGAAAGAAATGAGCAACACTAATCACCTAAACTGCCATCACATTTGTAACAGGAACTTGTCCACAGACTCTTCAAATGCCCAATTGTAATAGGGTTCCCCTCCAAATTAAACCAAAATTCATGTCAAGTATTTTTCCCATTGCCAAAAAAGACATTCTACCATATGCTGTCGTCTTTAGAAGTTGAGACAGAAAACACAATTAGTTATAGAAGCATACAAAGGGTGCCTAATTTAAATAGCAAGACAGGATTGTTAGCTTTTAATAATTAAGAGGGAAAATAAGACAGAAATAGACATCAGGTAGGTAAGAAGGAAACCAGAAATACTATATGGATCTATTTCTTATAAAAGTTCCCACAAAAAATCCCACTTCAAATGCCTAGCCAAGCTACAGACACATTTTCTTGACATGGTTTATTTTAATAAAAAATACAGCTGAACATTTATCACAGATTAAATGAAACTATACACAATGACATTCTCTCTGCATAGTAACCAACACTGATGTGTGTACTTGAATTTTTAAATGGATTACTGATAATCCTTTAAAGTGCAATTTATTTAAGGGTTTAAACAAATCATAGGATAAAGGATCTAATAAATGAGTAACATTAGAAAGATGATGTATTTGGATAAATCTTTCAAAAATCAGAACTGGTTTTTATGGATGCCAAATTACTTATGTTGTAATAATAACCCCCCCCCCCACAAACCACAAACTTGACTTTATTGCTGAGGATTAAGGAGATCCTCTAATCCGGAAAGCACTTTTCCTGATCTTCACATTTTCTGCCTGTCCAATATACTCTGACTAAAAGGAACTGTGAGTCGAGTGGTTGCTTTCACAGCCCTGAGTTCTATAACCACAATGGTATTCCTGTTAGAACCTAGAGAAGGTTCCGGACTCGACTTGCCTGTCTATCCGAATGGGAAAGGAAGAACTCAGTTGCTTCTCTCTCTCCACGACGTAACTAGGCTTTACGCTACAGTGTTGATAATGTCTGAGATGAATTAAGGTAGCAAAAATGGGAGTTGTCTAAGAAGCAACCAGAAAATGCTTTACAGAGAAATGAGAGGAACGTTTCTGGGAGCTGTCTGATGGGAGAGGAGGGATTGCAACACAAAGGTCATTCACTGCTGTGACCGGACGTGGTCATTGCTTTTGTGTCCCGTTCCTTCAGTGGGTGAAAAGGTTGACCAATACGCTGCTGCCCCCGAAAGAAGCCCATTAGAGGATGAACCGGACTCCTTTAAAATGGCAATAACGGAGCAAAATAAAGATTTCTTAAGGCAGAAACGCCAGCCTGACTTTATTCTATTTGAGTATTTCCCTCTTGAGAAGCCGCTTGTAGGAGCATCTGCAAGACAGCAAGCGGCTGTCCTGGCTCATTCATCCGGAACGAGAGTACTTCAGGGGCTGGAGGTGGGAGGAAAGAAACAAAGAACTTTTCCCTCCAAATGTAAACACGAAGCTTTAGCCGATCTTAGGAGCGCTATGATCACAGGTTTCGGCTTTCCTCAAAGTTCCCTTTTGGAAATTCTGGATGGAGCGGAGTAAGGCTCCACGGCTCACACCATTCACAGCCTGGGGCAGGAGTTGTGGAGGCGCCTCTGTGCTCGCAGGAAGCAAGGGAGCTGCTGCTGGTGGAGGCGGGGGCGGAGGTGGAGGAGGTGGAGGTAATGCAGACATCCCTGGGTGGGGGGCAGAGGAAGGGGACAGTCAGTATCATCTCTCCCAACCCCCCCCCCGCCCCCGCACACATGCTACTACTGCTCAGTCCTGGGTAGAAGGGACTTCGATGAGCCTGCCAATGTTTTCCCGCAGAGGGACCAAGATACCCAGTACTGTGTGTGTTTTTTTTTTTAAATGCTAACTAGAAGCATCAAAGGGGAATTAATTAAAGGTTGCCATTTTCCCCAGGTAATAAGCCATCTAAGACTGAATATCACAGATGACATGAAACTCTACACAGTGACATTCTCCCTGCATAGGTGAGGCTCTAACTCCATTTCCAAATTTTAGCAGTGGTCCCCAAAGAAAAGTTCCATCAGCTGCTTCAGGCAGGTCCAGGGCACCTACTGAGCCAGCAAGTCAAGACAGACATTTGTATGCACAGAGTTGGGCTACCTGAGTATCAATCACTGACAAAGGACGAACATTTCTTTAGCTGCCCCAACACACAATATTTGAAGGATGTGGTTTAACAGAAAATGACAAGCCACTCAGGATTCTAGGCAAAGAACAGTGCCTGCTGGGTTTGAGGGTTCCCCAGGGGCGTGTGTCTTGAATAATCATTTTCTATTAGGCTGCATTAAAGAAATATAAAATGCTAATAACTGTTAGCAGCGCAAAGCAGGGGGCAGAAGGCTCTCTCCCTGGGAACAGTCTTCTCAGGGAGCAGTCGTCCTCAGCACCTTCTTTCCACGGGGCTTCACCCGGGAACAGAACGGAGCTGCAATAACCCTACACCTTCGCTGAGCGTCAGCGAAGAGAGACTCCGCCCGAGTGGACAAGGAGAAGGGAACTGGACACATATCTAAAGCTTCCCTTAGCTTCCAGGCACGCCAACATGTGGCCGTTACAGTTTTGAATCGATGAATGAGTTACTCTCCTAGGACAAAATAAAAGCTGAGTACAGCCAAGGACCTGCTTTAAAGAACTTGCTGGTGCGGCAGAGATACGTGTCCTGTCACCCGGGAATCCTGCAGCTCTCGGTGACTCCCCTGTTTCTGGCCTTAGTCTCAGCCCCTCCTAGGGCTACACAGCAACACATCCTGTTAGGTGTTCCTCCCCTCTAACCTGCTGCTGAGCTGTGCTGGTAACAAGTAAACATACCCTTCACCACCTGAGTTTCTATGGATGAGTGGTTCAGGATCACCAAGTACTCAGCTAAGAGCATCCTTTTTACCGAGCGTGACACGTAACAGTTCAAAGTCTTGTATTTCATGGAAGACCACTTACCTTCCTTTCATCTTTTACTCAAACCTAAGCCAGCTGCAATTAAAGAATCACACAGACACATACATTCATGCTCTGCAATCTTAGAATTCTCAAACGATGAAAATACAGCAATATGAATAAACATTAAATACAGACAAATGAACAAAATGTAATTCTCACTGGTACTACATAGTAACAACCAATGAATGAAGTCCTAGTATGTTCTCTACCAGGGTGACTTGGGGAAAAATGTTCGCAGCTGTGTGTTACAGGGTTAAAAAGATAAAAAGAACTTTAAACCCACAATGTTTGCTAAGGTGAGAAGAGCAGGGAGAATAAGCATGCTAGTAGGCGGTTTTGGAGAGTGGCCAGTGAAATCCCAGGAGGAAGGGGGTGTCTCTGAAGGCTCTTGGGACTCAACAGCAGCACCAAGAGTGCCCCAAGGAGCCAGCAGGTGCGGAAGCCCCGCAGTGCTGCCCACTGGCCAGCATCTGGGTTTGACATTCAGCGCCTGCCCTGTATCAGAAGGGGCTCCAGAATTTTTGGAGAAGAGGCACTGCAGGTTCCAAGAGGGAAGTCAGGCTCTGGGCTGCAATAGCACTGGTTTTGTGCTAAAGGCACAGAAGAGCCATCCGGAGACCTGCTACCCCTCCAGCCCGGGACTCTGGGAGGCTAGAGTGGGTCTCAGCTGCTGGACCTGGATCTGGGTTGCCTCTTGGCACAGAACAAATCTGCTTGGCCCTCATGAGGAGCCCACCCTCAACTTTGGCTGCATTACCAGCCACTCAAAATTAAAAGTGCAAATTGACTATCTCAGAGTTTGGGAGTTGGGGGTGATATTCAGTACCTGGATCTGTATTTTTCCACGTAAAGTTTGAGATTGTTATGGCTTTAAATGAATCTCCTTGAATATGTAGGTAGCATAAATAAACAGACAGTCCCAAGTGTCAAAGAGTAACCTGTACTTATAAAGCAAATGAGACGTGGAGGTCTGTGCAAAAGGAGAGGCTGTTCATCCAAGGGTAAGGAACAAAGTAACCCTGGCATCTGTCCCCAGACGGCCGGACCAGACCCAAAGGGCCTAACTGTCCCACAAGGCCCACTTTCCTTACTGGGCCTGAGACAATGAGGGCCGATATTCAGGTGTACCACCAGGGCAAGGCCAGACCTCATCTTGCCAGCTCAGAACACTCTGGAAGTGGGGAGGAAGTCCCACGGTCAGAAGGTCAGGAGGAGAGGAAGCAAAAACAGACCCAGGGACTCAGCCACTGACTACAGGCCCAACACCAAGATTTTTTGGCCTCTTCTTTTTACCTTCTCTATAGTCCACAAGCTTCCTTTAAAGTTTGTCAGGGCTTAAGCTACAACATGTTCTAACAGTTGGCAGTACTGATAGGGGCCAAATTCAGAACTGGCTATGTGGCCTGAGGCAGGCCTGACAGCCACTGACTCCTCCCCGCCAACAGGTACCCAACAGCCCTTACCCCCAGGCCACAGATAAGACCAGACAGATTCTGTGTTACATTGGTTGTTAATTAGAATTTAAATTAAAAATTTAAAGGGGTGGGGGGGAAAGGTTGGTTGCTAACTGAATTCACCCAGCTTTGAAAAATACTGGCTTCCAAACCCAGGATGAGGGATGCTCCGAAACAGTTCTCTTCCATCCTACCTACTCTTAGACAAAAATCCCAAAGCCAGCTACTCTATCCTCCCCAGAATCCCATTCACCAAACTAATGAGAACCTGGCAATCCAGAGCCTCAGTTAGATCTAGGGTAGAAAGCCTTGCCAGAAAGACCCTCACCAGCCTTGGGGAAAGAACGTCTGGGGACTGCCCTTTATTTGGGGCCAGTTTTAGCACTGGGCCATCTACAAGTCTCTGCAGGTCTGTCTTTGTGGTCTGCGAATAGAAGCGGGGAGACCACAAGGCCACCAGACCAACATCAGACCTGCTAGCCACCCTCGAGAGGGAACAGAGAGCAGTGACCCCTGGAAGCAGACCGCGCTCCCAGCTCTTGGCAACTGCCTTTGTATTTTTCCTCAGGTAGATGAGAAGGCTGCACTCATGTCCCAATGCAAGAATTAGTAAGGGTGCTCTAGAGAACTGTTTTTTCCTACTGTCCGTTATAAAAGCTGGTGAACTATCTTCCTGAAATCAAGAACTCAACCGGCTAACACTCTTTCCCTGCATCAGAGTAACAGGGAACCAATATTTTTGCTGCACCAACACTGTGGGATCCCGCTTTCCAAAATGAAAATAGAACAAAATGCCATGCGGTTGATTTGCAGGTTTTGAGCTGTGTTTTAAAACTACAATCAGAGTGGAAATGAAGATTTTGAAGGTCACGGTGAAAATGAAATGAATGTAGATGAAGTCATTTGGGTGCTTTTTAAAGATGCTGTATTTCGTTTAGATGTTCAGATAAGGAAATCGTCCCAAATCTGCTTTCCCATTTGTTCATCACTTCTGTGATCTCCACACACTGGGCCCCATTTCACATCCAGAAACAGAGCATCTTTAAAGTTAGAGAAACCAGTATAGCTTACTTTACCGAAAATTCACGTTCAAAATGGTGCATGCTCTACTAAAAACAGCAAAGAGAGAGAAAGAAAGAGAGAGAGGGGACACACATCATTATTCAGATTTCAGTGTCTGTTAATCAAATAGTAAGAGACAGCAAAATATTAGTCTGAACCACATGCTGATTCTTCTCACTGCCAAACTAAGACCCACTTCACCGCAAAATGCACTGGTTTGTAAACAAGACGGTGACCGTTTTAGAACACGGAAAATAGGCTCAGACAGTAATCAGCGAGTCAACATGCTAACAGAGTTGCCAGAGAAGCGCTTTCCTCTTCATACTTTTTTTCTGTGTCCCTGCCCCCGGAGCCATTTAGATGGGATTTTTTTTTTTTTAAGATTTTATTTATTTATTTGACAGAGAGAGAGAGATCCCAAGTAGGCAGAGAGGCAGGCAGAGAGAAAGGGGGGAGCAGACTCCCCACCAAGCAGACAGCCCAATGTGGGGCTCGATCCCAGGACCCTGAGACCATGACCCAAGCCGAAGGCAGAGGCTTAACCCACTGAGCCACCCAGGGGCCCCTAGATGGGATTTTTATTTGTTTATAAGCACAACACTCACTTCAGAAGACCTGTGAAGGTTTTAATCCCCGACCCCCACCCCAAAGTGGAGTGAGTACAGGAAGTGCAATTAGTTCTACTGCTAAATAAGGACAGCTTATCAAGATGGGAGAAAAACTAGAACTCATCACTTTTCCTCAAATCTTCTATAATCTAAAATGAAGACCTGTGTTTTTAAAGCCGGGAAGAGCACGAGCACAGGGTAGGTGGAAGGTGGAGTTCCTGGGCAGGGGCAAGTGGCCCCTCCCCCAAGGCCACCCTCTATAGGCTGAATTTGGGCAGGGAGTGACATTCGCTTACTTGTGGCTATAAAACTATTAAAGAGAAGACAAGCCAGGCAAACATGGCTCTTGTCTTCCTTTTAACCGACTAGATTCGAGGTTAAATGTGAAGGATAATGCTCTTCCTGACAGAATCCCAGAGTTCCTGATGAACGGGGACAATGGCTTTGTCTGCAGAGGGGCTGAGAAATGAGGCCCACGAGGGGCTGGGCAGGCTGACCACTCCCCAGGGACAGCTCTGGGAGGATGCTGGGGACACTCTGCCCTGTGCCACCTCCACCCACACCAGCCTTACCCCCTTGGTCGTGGAGGTGGGGAAGGAAGGCTGA